AGCTCCAAGTGTGCAGCTGGCACAGCCAGGACACCCAGCCTGTCCCCCCAGCCCAGCAAGGGATGTGTTTGAGGAAGAAGCTGAATGAGCAGGGATGTGTGCTTGTGACTAAAGAGACAGTGTCACATACTGCACCAGAGAAGCCATCCTCACCCAATGAGGAAGCTTCAGCAAAAGAGAGGAGCCTTCCCCTGACACACAACACAGTGAAGCAGTGGGCAGGCTGCAGCGAGCTCAGGACATTCAGATGCCACCATTTGCACCAGCATGCCGATCTCCTCCTGGCCATCCCTCCAGCTGAGCAGCTGTATGGCACACAAAGAGAAGCCATCCCACTAAACAGCTTCCAGGAGCTGCTGCTCTGCATGTCCCCCTGCAGGGACTGTCTCCACACACACAAGGGAACTGCCCAGGGTGGGGGACACAGCCCCAGGGGAGCTGATGCCACCCCACCACCCTGCTCTGCCCTGGGTCAAGTCCCCACCCACGTGCAGAAACCTGCAGGGGTGGCCAGGGACCATCAGTGGGTCCTTGGGTGGAGGGAGGTGTTTCCACTCTTCAATCTCATGCACCACTTTCCTGTCCACAGCAGGAGCATCGGTCCCACCTCCTGTCCCACCTCCTGTCCCACACTGGTGTGACTCATCCACAGGGAATGATGTGGGCTGAAATAAACCCTAGGCAGTTTCTAATGTAAATGTTAATATGGCACTGGGTATATAATAATACCTGAAGTGGGCAGCTGTTAATATAAATCACTGTCTTATGAAGCCTGATCCTTCAGAAGCCCCAAACAGGTCCCCAGTGGGGAGCAGTACCACGTCCTAGGCCTCCTTCCAGCTGAAGTCACTGCTCACTGTCACCAGCAGTCCTCCAGCAGCATTTTCTGCTCTGCACTGCTGCTGCCCCACAGCCTGGAGAGGACCAGCAGCAGTGCTGCACCACATCAGCACTGCAGCTTTCCACTCTGCCATTTGCTCTTCTGTGGCTTTTACTGATGACACACTTAGAAGTGAGCAACCTCCAAGAAGGAAAAAATACCATAGAGTCACAGGCAGGTTTGGGTTGGAAAGGACCTTAAAGACCCTCCATTTCCACCCCCCTGGATGGTGCCAGCACAGCCAGCAGGACCCTGCCCTCATCCAGGGCTGGACGGTTGAACAGCAGACACTCTTGCTCATGGACACACCTCACCTGGCTGTCCCCTCTCAGCTGCCCATGCTGCCCATCTACAAACCAAGCAGATCTTCAGCTCTAGAGCCCCCTGGCAAGGGCCGGGGCCATGGCAGCGTGTGACAGGGATATGTCCCCCCAGCCCTGCCCACGGCCCTCGCGAGACACAGAGCAGCCCAGGGAAAATGAGGGCAATATATATCCATGGTACCTTAATATCAAAGGATTGTATTTGTAGCCTTTATTTTGGGGAAAAAAAATCCAACATTTATAAAGCCAGAACATAAGAAAAAGGATCAAGCATGTGTTGATATCAAAGAGAGATTCAGTTGAGAACAGACTTTAAGGGAATTCTATTCACCGTGTATCTGAGGGGTGGGCATCTATGACCTTTAGAAAATGGATTAAAGCTTTTCTATACCCAGCTTCAGGCTGTGTGAATTATTAAAACAACAAAATCGTGAACTTAAAGTACTTCTGTGAAGAAAACCACATTGCAAGCCACTTTTCTTTGGCAGGCTCAGTAAGAAGCCACCCTCCAGGAGCAGGGCCTCCCCCCACCCTCCTTATCTTCATCCCTTGGAAAAGGCAACAGTGGTTGAATTCAGGGAGAACCAAAAGGGAAGTCCAGGTGGGAGAAGGAATGTGAGGTCAAGCACTCCCTCAGCTGCCTCCTGGTTGGAGCTGACAGGGACATGAGCAAGGAGAGGTCCATGTTTAAGAGGGAGACATCAGGATCCCTGCCGTGCCACCACCACCGTCAGACACTCCCCAGGTCTCATCACGTCTCTCGTTCCACAAGTTTCATTGCACTTCACATTTCCCGTTAAAAGAGGGGGTCACAAATTGTATCCCATCTGGAAACCCTCTCCTGGCTCCTGCTCCTTGGGTAACAGCCACAGACCAGCCAAAACCCAAGCAAGCCGAGCTGGTGGCTGAGCAGGGAGCCTGTGCTACAGGAGAGGCACAACACTCCCCTCAAAAATACTGAAAACCAAGTAATACTCCCTCTAATATGTACAGAAAAGATTACACAATTGCTAATTGGAGTAAACAAGGAACTGAGCATGACCTTCATTTGATTAGTAGTATATCTTGAAGATGATTAATCCAATATCTAGGAAGCAGAAATTGGATGGGTTTTGCAGATGTGCCAGAGCCACAGCTCAGGGGCTCTCTGGTCTCTTCAAAAACAACTTCTGAGCTCCCTTTTCCTTCATTTGGTACAGTTTCTGTGCAAAGGACCACACGGTCTGTCCCAAGAGATGCACAGAACAACAGAGAAAAGCAAACACCCTGCGCAAAGCCACCCTCTGGGTTGCTGCCTCCCAGGTCCTGTCACTGTGGGATCACACAGTGTCACATCTCACACGTCACTCCCTGCACCCTGAGGGCCCACACCCCCATTCTGAGACAGACACTGGCTCCTAAAAACCTTCCTGAATACAAGCAGGTAAGTGCTGCAGGCACCCAAACCAACTAAATCACTCAGAAATTTCAAACAAGAGCTTTCAGGTAGGTTGTTCTACATTTTCTGCAATTAAATGCAAGTTGCAAATGACTTTGTAAATGCAAAAATCTTTTCTCAGTATTAAAGAAAATTTAACATATTGACATAATTATCCAGAAAGATGACAGATGAATCATTTCAGCATTTTTGTTGAAAGTGTATATACAATTCTGACGCCTGATAGACTGCTACATGCTAGACTTAACCCTCTAACATAAACAGAAAAGGAAGCAGCCCTGGAGAGCAGCCTTCTTCAAAGCCTAAAAGGTCCTGCCCTGGAAAAGAATATTGTCTTCTCCTTTCCATGTTCTGAGCAGAAGTAATTTTCCAGTACCAAGTGCTGCTGCTCAACAGAATAAAACCTCTTTTCCCTGGAAAGTTTACTCTGGGAAGTATGCTTCTTCCCACATGAGCTTGAAAAAAAAAAGTCAGCTCTATTTTGTAGTAAGATTTAGAGTTAGGTTTTGGTCTGACAATGAGCAGAAGTCACAAGACCAGGAGTATCTGGGGAGACTGTCCTCTGCTGTTTGCTTCAGCTGTGCAGCACTGCCCTAAGGAAGGACCTGAGCTTTTATTTAATCATTCTCCATGGTTTAATACAACCTCAGAAACCTGACACAGCTCTGCTGCCAGCTTTCATCTCTTGTGCTCTCCAGGCAGGGCTGCCAAGGTGGGTGGCTACATCAAGCCACCCCCTCCCCAGCCTGCCCACAGCTCAGCATTGCCTTTTCATTAGCCCTGATCCCATGTGGACTCACAAGAAGCCAGCTGGGAGTTTGTGTGGGTAGACTGTGCCCCGAGCATGCCAGAACGGAGCAACAGTCACTGCAGCAGCACCAGTTAGCTGAGGCTGTGATGAAATACCCTGGTTATGGAGCAGTGCTCGCGATGGCACTGCCCCCAGCAGGGTCCCTGGGCCTGGCCCTGCACTGCTGCTGCTGCTCGGGAGTGAAGCTGCTGGATGCATTTCCAGTATTTAAACAGAGATTTTCAATAACGGGAGGAAACTGGGGCTCTTCTGGCCAAACAGGTCTGGGATCCCCAGAGAAAGCTCCAGGTCTGCAGGGTCCCCCAGCAACCAACCAGTCCCCGCGCAGCGAGTGCAGCAGGCGGGGCTGCTCCCAGGGCCCTCAGCAGGGCAGTGATGGGCAGAGGGAAAAAGCAGAGGACAGAACGGTTCATACCCTGAGCCAGATCCAGGAGAAACCGGCCACGATGACCAGCCCAGAAAGAAAGGAGAGGCCACAGCTTTCCTCTGCTTGCTCTGCTTGTCCCCAGTTTATTCCAGCAGCGGGTGGGGACAGGGAGCTGCTCACACCCTGCTCTGAACTGGCCTGAGCTATTACACAACTTCCATATCACACCTTTTGCAGCATTTCAGAGGCCATTTCCCTGCCCTAACCCCCCGTCCTACCACAAAACCCCACACCACATGACTGCCACCTGAGCAGAGGACAGCAGCAACCAAATTCAGCCTTTCTCATGGAAAGTCACCAGGGTCACTGCTCCTACAGCTCCTGCCCATTGGGTGCAGGTGTCTCAGCTGAACATGGGGACACAACTACTGCTGGGGCACAGCAAAACACAGGTGACAAGGTGTCTACAGAGCAGAGCCAAGGCAACGAAGCCTCGTGCAGGTGCAAGGACACACACGTGCACACACAGACACAGGGAGCACCAGCCTGCAGAGCAAACACGTGGCGTGCGGTGCCACGACAGAGCAGCACAGGGGCTGCACACAGGGACTGAGAGGCACTGGAACAGGGAATGAGAAAGGAATATAACTAGGAAATCAACAAGTAATTGATTTCCAGAGCTATCCAGCTTTTTGATCATCACCTCCCACCTTCTCCCACATGCTTGGCAAAAAAAAACTTGTTAAAAATAAACAACAAAAACTCTTCAGCATAACTCATTTCTGAATGGGAAAACCACCCAGGGCTGCAGAGAACCCTCCGAACCACATCATGCCACCTTGGTCAATCACCCTGAACAATTTCCAACACCTCCCTGACTTACTGCCCCCCCTCACAACCTATAAACCCTCTCAGAAAATATAACCAGTATTTGCCATGAAATGGTCACAATTAGGCTGGTAGTTTAAAATACACCTGTTTCACTAAGATGCCAAGAATTAAAGTAATGCCAACAAGGTACTTTCCTGTACACATTTTTCCTATGTTTACTCAGCAGCCATCATCTGACAATAAAAACAGCCGATTTCAGCAGCATTACTGCTTCATTAAGCCACAAGTACACAACAGCAGGCACCTGCTAAAACATCCCAGCAAAAGCAAAACTGAGTGTTCAAGCCTACCTTGCCAAAGCTTCCCTTCCCAATCGCCCGGAGAATCTGGAAGTGGTCAAAGGTCACTACAAGGTAAAGAAAAAAAAAATTACATTTGTAAATGCTTTACTGCAAAGAACTTGTATTTAAACAGAAGTCAAGGAGACAACTAAAGAGCATTGGTCCTCCTGGGGACAATGCAGGACAGCAGCTGTTTTTTCTTTAAACAGTCTGTTTTTCCCTGCCTGAGGCAGCCAGCAAACAGGTTGAATCAGGTTCCTAGGTAGGTGGTTTAATACAGCTTTGACCTGTGGATACAGGTGGAGTGGAACGGACACTTGAGCTCCTGCCTCCAGCAGCAGCTGCTGCAAACAGAATGATTTTTACTGAACTGTTGCTGTGATCTAAGCCTTAAATAAATAAAAAGATGGGTCTTCTGTTTATAATCCTCCTTGCCATGTAATCAGTGTCCCACAGACAGACAAATAAATACTGTCACAAAAGCCAACGCGAAGGGCACAGTGTGACTCCCATTTCACAAACTGCCTCTTCACACCCCAGCTCCCCAGCCAGCCCCCAGCTCAGGGAGCTGCAGAGCTGCCAGCACAGCTGGGCTGCACATGGTCCCTGACTGCTGCACACACACACACTTGAGCTTTGGGCCAGCCTTGAAGTGCCCAGGAAGCTGGACTAGGTGATCATTGTAGGTCCCTTCCAACTGAACAGTTCTGCTCTACCCACATGCTCTTGAAGCAGCCAGACGTGTAGGAGCTCGCTGGTGGACCAGACTGCACCCTGCCCTGTCCTACCCCTCAGCCTGGCACGTTCCCACCGTGGGACCCCCAGCATGTCCTCCCCAGAAAGCTCTGAAGGCTGCAGAAGGAGACAGGCTCAGCACAGGCTTGGGGATCTGCAGCGTGAGTGATGCAGGAGATGGTCAAGAGAGCAGTGACCCTGTATGGGTTCAACTGGACACCTGAACCACACGGGAAGAGGGGGAGCAAAGAACCCACTATAAATATTCCAAGTCCTACTCCCAGTTCTCAAACTTCTCTCAGTTGCACGTCTGTAATTTCTGAGGATGAATCAAAAGCCCACGCATGCCCGTGGAGTTCCTATTACCCTTTTGTGCTAGGCTTATATCCAAAATATTGTTGTTGTCACTTTTGTGGGACATTTTCTGCAGGAGAACTCGGAAAACTTTGCCAAATGAAATTGAAAACAAAGTCTGGGCCAGCTCCTACCATGTATTTCACCCCACTCAATAAGCAACATTGAAGGGCAGATACACCATCTATTCCCCTGGGATGCTCTAGGAAGGCTCTACAAAAGGCCGCATAGGGAAACCAGTGCTGCCCTGTCCTCCTTACAGCTTCTGAACCTCCAGAGGAAGGGCTGGGCTCCATGGGTGGTGTGTCATCTCCTTATCCCTCCCCTGCTCTGTGGGCAAACAGCTTTCTCTCAGCACGACTGGGCAGGTCTGGGGCTGAGCAACCCTGAGGTCTCAACGAGGATGTGGTGACCCCTGGAGCTGTGACCAGCCACCCAGATGCTCCAGGAGCTGCTGGGTCCCCCCACCTGGCACAGCAGCCCTGGCAGCAGCCACTGCCAACCTCTGGATGAGGTTTTCCTCCCAGTCCTGCCAGGGAAGCTGCAGGGAGCAACATGCAACCACAGCTACATCTTGCTCAGAAAAACTCTCTCTGAAATCCCAAACTAGCACACACGACACTGAAGCACTTGGGGCAACAGATCCCATTTTTTTCACAGGCACACAAATCCATTAATTGAACTTCTAAGAAATAGCAAAAATTAATAAATACTCCAAGAGGAAAGGCAGCTAGAGCAAGTCCCTTCAAAGCACAGCATTTCCTTGGCAATTAAACCACATGCAGGTGCTCATCATCTGCCCTCCAACCAGGAGGGCAGTTTTTCACAATTCTTTTTATAATGTTTGGAAAATTGTGTAAAAAATCTTTGCCACTGAGAAAACAAGACCAAAAGTGTCATTTTCATGTATCCATGACTACAGCTGATCCAGAAAGCCTGCTCCAGTCAGCAGTCAAGTAACAAATCCAGATATGAATATTCACCAGGCCCTTGAACCTATCAGCAAAGATGTCACTTCTAATAAATTAAACACACAGTTCTGCTGATTTGAAGTTCAGATGAAGTAGATGAACAGGCACAGACGTTTGTTTTTTTCAGTTTCAATATTTTCTTCAGGAATTAGTAAGCAATCCTGCTAAAGAAAAAGCAAATCTCAACATTCGAAGAAGAAAACCGTAGTAGCAGCACGTTGTTTTTACTGCACAACACACTGGATTTCTAAAAATGACAACACATCACTACAGAACATGTGATTATCCCTGAAATAGAAACCCTGAACCTGCCTGCAACAATTACGTTTGCTCCAGAGACTCCCCTTCCTGCGCTGACAAGAGCAAGCTGTCCTTCCCCACTGCCAGCGGGGCTGCTCGGGGGTGCCTGGGACCAGCCTGAGTGACAGGTGCCAGCGCAGGGCCTGGTGCCACCCGCTTGCAGGCAGCAGGAGATGACAGCTGGTGCCTGCTCACAGGACCAGCCTCGCCCCTGCTCTGCCTGCACAGCTCTGACAGTCACAAGCTGGAAGTGCAGAAACGGCTTTGGCTCGAGGTTCAACTGGAGGAACCTGCAGAAGGTGCAGAGGGACCTGAAGACCTTCCTGGGATGCTCTGGGAAGCATTTATTTACCAAGAGGGTGGTAAAACCCTGGAACAGGCTCCCTGGAGAGGTGGTCAATGCTCCAGGCCTGGCAGGGCTTAAGAGACATTTGGACAATGCCCTTAATAGCATGCATGAACTTGGCCAGCCCTGCAGTGGTCAGGCAGTTGGACTAGATGGCTGTGTGGGTACCTTCCAACTAAAACAGTCTATCCTATCCTGTCCTCTATTCTAAACCCACCCACAGAGCACAAAGGCTCATGAAAACACAGCAGTAATTATTCCTATTGACTCCTCCAACAGCTGGTTATCAACAGAGCACCTTTTCAGGGAAGTGGAACTGCTGGACACAAGCCCTTGGTATTTGCCACAGAGACACTTGCCTCTTCCTGACTCTGCCTGGCCTCGAGTGATGAGCCCTGAATCCCAAATGCAGACCTATTCTGTGACCTGGATCTGCTCAGTGCTGTTGTTCTCAGCCTGCAGAGACACATGCCAAGCAGGATGGCACAGCCCCATGGACCCCAGCAAACCCCACGCAACCCAGCCCAGCCCACTTCACAAGAGAGGCCCAGGTGCTGCACTGACATCTCTGTAATTAAGCTTTCATTGTAGGCACAAAATGTACTGTGTGACAAAGCAGACTGGATGCACAGCTTCTATTTTCCAGTGAAAGAAAAAGAACAAAGCAAGTTTTTCTCTGCAAGAATGCTGTATACAGAAGGATGGGAATGCCTCAATGTCAGATGCAAATATGACTTTTTTTGCTTTAATATCTTAACATTATGAATGTTCTCATTATTTTTGCTGTTTATTCTGAACTTACTTACAAGATCTCTAAAAGTCTGACAAGATAAACCTACCATAAAACTTCACATGAACAGTGGACACCCAGTTAGGGTTCAACATCAGGACCTGGTATTAATGTCACAGTATCACAGTATCATTCCGGTTGGAAAAGACCTTCAAGATCATCGAGTCCAACAAGTACCCTAACTCTGCCACCTCCACCACTAAACCCTGTCCCCTGGCACTGCATCTGTCTTTTTAGATGGTGACTCAACCACCTCCTTGGAGAGCATGGAATACCCACTCCAACTCCTGCCCCAGAACAGGACAACCCCAAAGTTCACACCATGTTCCTGAGGGTGTTGTCCAAATTTTTCTTGAATATTGTCAGTGCCACTACCACTTTTCTGTCCAGCAGCAGGAAAACAAGGGATGCAGTCAGTTAACCTGGTATTAAGGGTCGAATCAGCCTTCCACTATTCATCCGCATGTTTTTCAGCTTCATCAATAAAATCAGGAAGTTTTGACTCTAAAAATGACTCCAGAACACTGAAGACCTAGGAAACTCTGAATCTTGCAATAATAGCACATTTGCAGGGTCAGCACAGCACGAACACCTTTCTTTTCTGTCAATGCATTTCTGTGTGTTGGCATAATTAATAGCATTTCTCTGCCTACTGTGTTCCTGCAGTCCAGCTTTGCAAGGAAGCACCACAGTAATTGATGTAGAAGCATCAATATGTGGCCACAGTAACCACAAGCTTGCTGCCATAACATGCCAGGAGTTTGGGCTGGCAGGAGAGTTCCAGCGTAGGCTGGGAAGTCAGGGCAGCCGGGGATCCCCTCCAGGAGGGACAGGCCACTGTGGAACAGGGACATGGGGGAAAAGAGCCATGGAAGTCAAGGGATGAGGAGAGGGAACAAAGCAGGACTCAGAGGTGTGGGGATGAGGAGTGGTGGGGAGGGCCTGGGCAGGGTGGGGTTGCAGAGAGACTGCCCAGGGAGCAGCACCTCAGAGAGTTCCCAAACAAGTGTCAGACCTGCTCCAAACAGCAGCACAGAGGGGCCGGGACACAGGAGGGACAGGGTATGAAAAGCTTCCAAGTTGGAGGATGACCCTGAGTGAATTGGGAAGACTGAGAAAATTGGGGGGATCAAAAGTGAGACTAGAGATGAGGTGAAGCAACTTGGGGGGAAATGCAGAGTATCTGATGGAGAGAGGGAGCCAAGGGCAAACCGTGGGGAATGGTATCAGTGTCCTCCTGGAGACCAACACCTGTTGGACACAGGCATCCACTCAGCTCTCACTCCACATGGCACTCCATGCTCCACATGGCACCAGACACTGCTGCTCTCCTCCGTGTCACTGGAAAAGTACAAGCAGCAAGTTGGGTCCTCAGCATGGCAGCCTGATCAGTTTTGCATATTCATCTCCACAGAGAAGATTACATGGAGAGCAAAATGGAAATGAAGTATAGTGTGACTGATGGGAACTCAAGTGAGCATTAACTACCCAGGAACTCGGGGAATGCTGGTAGAGAATGAAAGAAATTAAAGGTATCATACAAGCCCAGTGCTATAATGAACCCTTTTA